AGCCAGTCACAAATCCAGTAAATAAGTCTATTTCTAGTTCGCATCTACCACAGCTCAATCAAGAAATGACAACTGGTAAACTGTCAATAAAGTCTTGGATGAATCAATTTTTTTTGTCTCTACTATTTATCAATAAGAACCAGTATTCTTAAAATTACACCAGATGATGGAGTGAGAAAATGATTGACAGGTGGACTAAGACAGTGTTAGGTTGGGTCTTTTCAGGATATCTGCTGACAGTGATAAAATAGAGAATAATGCCAGATTTATTCTACTGTCAGCATCAATCAAATGTTTGCTGCACCTGCGGTGACAGAAATGTTGTCTATATCTGTTGAGCATTTTTTTTCCCCATTTTTTTCCCACCTTCAATGTGCTGTTGGAACAGAATGTACAAGCATTGGCTTATCAAGATTATATCATCTGAGCTCCGTGTTTGAGTTGATTTGAATAGAATTGTGCTTAAATGAATGCTTAATCTGGCGCGATAGCACAAGACAGAAGTGGAAGAAGAGGGTATATGCTGCGGTAGCTCAGCACTTTTCCTGACAGTATATATACACCTGCTCTGAATATAATTTCAATGCAAATGGGCTGGTGTTGCAGTCAACCATCAGGAAGGGAGTGAGTGTGTGTTTTAACAATAATGGCTGGGTTTCGTTTAAATTCACATCCATTGAGGGATAACAATATAATCATCTTCCCCAGCAGCTCTGAAACAGCTGTTTGGGCTCTTTGTGTGTGTGTGTGTGTGTGTGTGTGTGTGTGTGTGTGTGTGTGTGTGTGTGTGTGTGTGTGTGTGTGTGAGTACACATCCTCATCCACGTGTGTGTGTATTTTATTTATTTATTTCATGGATGAGCGTGAGTGGGCAACTGCTGCTGCAGCTCTGTGTTGCTATGGTGACAGCTGAACTTCAGGCCGAGGTTGAGGCTTCTACTGTATTTGAAGTAGATGCTGTTGCATAAGGTAAAGTATAACACAGATTTGCACCATGCAAGGCAATTACTGCGCTCTTTCTCGAGTGTGCGTGTTTGACAAAAGAGCAATGTGAGGACTGTGCCACGCTGTTGCCCCTCAGGAGATCGGCAGCAGGCTGAATATTTCATAACTTTTTCCGTATAGCAGGAAAACTCACATACATGTCACATTTTACACTGCAGAGTCATCATTTTTATGTAATGACTATTTACTGTTACGCAAGTCAGTTATAAGAAGCAAAAATGAATACCAATGCAGAATAATGGCGCCATACTATTGAATGTGCAATGCAACAGTTGGTCAGTTAGTCAAGAGTCCAAAATAAGGGCATCAAAACTGTATGGGCTGACATCAGCAAATAAGTTGGCATTTACCAGCATAAAGGGCTGATATTTCTGTGTTCAGTTCTGGGTTAAGTATTCAGAAACAGTGTGAAGAGCTGCAAGACTAAAAATCCAGTCAGTTATTTTATAATAATTAGCTGATAAATAGGACTATAAACGCAAAGAAGATAAGAAAGAAACACCCTTCAGCTGTGTTATAAGTGCTGATGTTGCATAGCTTGTCCTCCAGAGGGCGCTCTGCAGCTTCCCTGTTAGAAAAGCACCTTTTTGGAAGGAACATTTTTTTTCATATTTTCATGTATCTGAGGGAGAGAACAAAGAATCTCTGCCAATATGTCGAAACAACAAATGAATGAATAATACTTTTTAAGCCACCAACAATGCTCTTAAAAATTCAACATCAGCAGGGCTTTAATACTGATGATTTCTTTGTTTGCACAAATAAATGAAAACAAGCAAAACAGACTTTAAATTTAGATTTTTTTTCCCCATTATTTTTAACATTAGTATCTGGCCAGAATTTCTCTATCATCATCTCTAATGTCAAAAAAAGAAAAAAAGCCAAAAGTTAAAAAGCTGAGAATACATCATATTTGCACTTGCGTTCATTATTATTATTTGAGTCCCACATTATTTTTGCTTCTAATATTACTGACACTTTAAAGGAAGGACAAACATCACTTGATTTTTACTGCACTAAATTCACTAAGTGGCTCAGGGGACTGGGAAGCATATCTGTATCCGGAAGGTCGCCGGTTCGATCACCCGGCTCTCTATCCTGGTCGTTGGGCAAGACACTTTACCCTACTGCCTACTGGTGTTGGCCAGAGGGGCAGATGGTGCGATATGGCAGCCTCGCTTCTGTCAGTCTGCCCCAGCTTGCCTCCACCAGTGTGTGAACGTGAGAGTGAATGAATAGTGGAATTGTAAAGCGCTTTGGGTGCCTTGAAAAGCGCTATATAAATGCAATCCATCATTATTATTATTACTACATAATATCAGCTTATGTGCTCTTGATTGCCCTTTGATCGGTCTAAAATGAACAATTAAAACATGTTTGCATGCAGTGAAGACCAGTGGAGATGAACACATTGCTGGCCACGGTGTATTCTTTATTTTATGAAATGAAATAAAAGTTATAAGACCTACTTACCACTTCTGAACTTGCTTGATAAATTATACAAGAGTTGTTTGCATATCTGCTCCATTTACTATGCAAGGAATATGATTTTTTTTATTTATGCTCTCTTTGATTGTTTAGGTTTGCGCTCACGTAGGTAGAATCGTACCGTATGCATCCTAAGCGCCTGTTTGGTTGTTTCTTTGTATTTTTATGCTTCTTCCGCAGATGTGCAGCAGTAATTGGTGAGGGAGATTTTATGTTGTGCTGACTCAAACAGAGGCAGGCCATTAGACTGACAGCAAGACCGTGCCATGAGGCTAATTACCACCCTTTGCCCTGAGGACACATTCAAATTCTCTCATGTTCATAAATACGTTTACTCGAAGTTCTCCAGAGGCAGCTCTATAAAACCTGCAGAAGTTTGTTGTGTACTGAAGTTTGATACCAGAAGGTGCAAAGAGAACATCCCTACAGAAGGCTGCCATGTTCCAGGCCGCCTCTTTAGAAAACCCAGTAACTGGCACAGTCAGTGGACGCCTGGTGACCAGAGAAAGAATGAACGCTTTCATTGGAGTCCAAGTGCATGTTTTTTTTTTTTCTTTTCTTTGTTCTCTGTGACTGTGTAATGAGAACCTGGGGGAAAAAAAGGAAAAAACCCAATAGACAGTTACAAACTTGCCACAATCTCATTGTGGAATTTGCAATTACTTGCTGTCAGAGCAAAATCTCAGAGTACACTCTCAGCTGTCACTAACAACACTTTGTTAAGCAGTAGTACTAGTTTAGAACAGGCGTTTAGGGACTTGCAGTTATTTGCTTTTGTGATCAGAAGGGAAGATTAATGAATTGCTGTTGAGGTGCAGGTAGGCAATGGTTAGCTTAGCTTAAAGAATGCTAAAAGATCTTTAGAATTCATAAAGCGAATCTTTGAGACAAATCTAGTCACTGAAACGATGAGCTAGCCTCATTTCAAAGCTCTCTAAAAGAATAGGTTAACATTTTGTTCAATACTCTTTTGCTAGCTGTCAGACAAGAGGACTGATATAACTCGCATACAAAGCTATAGCTAGCCTATCTTCCATTAGAATTACAAAGAAACAGCTAATTCTTTGTGATGTTATATAAACAGTGTTATTTACATAAGAGCACAGGTTGGATCTGTAAATGATGTACATGAGAACAAAAGGTGTGCCTATAGCTTCAAGGTCCTTTCAGGATCAAGGGCTAATGAAGATGTACGAGACTCACCTTTTGCTGTTGTCTTTCTGTTTTTTTATATATAATTTTAAGAAGAATCATACAAGTTAAAATTTCAAAAACAGCTTTTTGTTTTCATCTACCATTAATGTAATCTCTAAAAAAGACAAAATTTGAAGATTTCTGTTTTATAAGATAAGATAAGATAGAACTTTATTAATCCCTCGGGTGGGTTCCTCTGGGAAATTCGATTTCCAAAAAGCACAGCACCGACAGAAGTTACAGTTACAGAATATTATACACACACACACACACACACACACACACACACACACACACACACACACACACACACACAAACACAGAGACAAATATAAATAAAATATACGAAGGGGATAAATAGAATAAATAGGAATAAAAATAAAAATACAAGTGAATGCTTTTATGCTTTTTTGTTTGTTGTCCATTTGTCATCCGAGCAACAGACCGATTGAGAGTGAGCAGTTTTCGGTTGCAAGAGATATCCTGCTGTCAAAATGCTTTGAATAACCATCAGCTACGATCTAATGAGGATTTGGGTTTTTATTATCCTTTTAAAATAAACCTGCTTCTGTAAACAAAGCTGGGTAGATGAAAATGGAAACCGTGATCCAGATGTGGCTACTCTTAAGGTCATATTCTCAGATTGATCAGACCAATGTGATCAGCGTTACAAAAGAGCAATAATTAATTGATCAAATGTATTTTTTATACCCTTGTCTCTCTCACTGTTTCTCTTAGGCGTAAGTCTCATACATACCTGATGTTCTTTGTATATAAGGTACAGTTGTGCTGTTATTCAGGTAAAGGCACCAGTTTGAATGGAGCCATCCAAGCCATGTTGGTAATGTAATAACAACAATGACATGCGTGTTCTCAGGGGCATTTTATATCATTATGCACTCATTAGCGCACCCCTGAGTGCTCTGCTAGTGCTCTCCAATGGTTTTGTCTCCGAAACCCTTTTCTGAAAACTAGTATTATTCTCCATTTTAGGCTAATGATGATGATCTGTTACCTTTTTGCATTTTTTTTTAAACACTCACATAATCTTGTTATCATCCCGACTAAGTCTTTGAACTCTTTTGCTGTCGCTAAAATTTGTTTTAAATTATGCAAATGAAAGTGAGAGTCATCGTTTTTTAGTACATTATAAAACTTGGTGTGGAGAAGAACTATAGTAGAAATCCCTGAGCTGTTGATGTCTGTCCCCAACACAGATGTTTTGGACATGCGTCAAATAACTATTTCAGGTCTCCTACAATGAATGATCTTTGTGCACAATGCATGAAAACGAATATCTTTGTGTTCATCAGGTACTGAAGATCAACCTTATCGGCCACAGAAAACGGATTCTGGCCTCATTGGGGGACCGGCTACACGAAGACACCCCACAGAAACCTCCACGGGCCATCTCCTTACGGGTGAGTGAGTCTCTGCAAGCTGACAGTATGCGGTTTTACCCATGACAATATTGAGCAATATCTTAACCAATTAGGATTCAAATTATCATGACTCTATAAGACAGTAGTTCCCTTCCCAGATGGCTCTCTATTTCTCTGAGGGAAATTCAGCCTCCCCACTGCTGCAGTTACCACCCAAATGATTACCCAAATCTCTCGGAGAGAGGCAAAATGGCCGTCCCACTGCCGTTTCCTCCCTGCTGATTTGTCCTGGATGCTACTCACAATGAATTGGCTTTCCCTCTCCCATCACAGCCACACTCCTATATCTCGGTTTTTTTCAAGCCCAGAGAAAGCCTGAAAATCTGGAGGCAGTGCTGAAACAGCCCGCTGTTCCTAAACACGTCTTCCCGTAAACCGCTGAGTCATGAAATAGGTTGAAAAATATTACAACAATAATCCTTGCTAGTTTCCAGGGGGAAAGGAATTTGTTTGGCTCCTTTAATAAAGTTTGAAATGCTTAACCAGGCACAAGCGCTGTTAGCTTCAGCTAGATCCAGCGTGTATAGTATGCGGTATTGCTTGAATGTGTCGTAACAATTTTAAACGTTTTAAAGTCCACACTTCAAGACACATAAAACAGAAAAAAGTTCCAAACTAGAGCAAGCAAATAGTCTAGTCTGAAACGAGACTTTCAGACTTTTAATATCAGTCCTAATTTCACAAAATTCCCTAAAGGTGTTACAAAGATGTGTAATTAAAGCAAAGCGTGATGATACTGAATGGCTTAGTGCAGGGAAAAATTATGTATTCAAGCCCCTTTTCTTCCAGTGTGTGAGCAGAGGGCTGTGTTTACTCAGTAATCCTGCACAAACAGGAGCAGATAGTTTTGTGTGATGGACAAAATGGGTGAAGGAACACAGCAAAGCTTTAGACAGCAACTGAGATGCAATGCATGAGCTTGCATAGGCAAGAAAATATTACCAAGCTTCTTCAAGAGTCTTCTCGTACGATATCAGCTGAAAGTGAACAGCCTCTCAGGAGAAATAACTGACCTTTTACTTTGTAAGACCCTTGTGCCAATGGAAGTTTTAATTCTTTTGGGGATTTGAGTTTCTACTCAAGTTTGAAAACCTCTTAAATGAACATCATTTTCCACTTTAAGGATTTAGCAGGTGCTTTCGCTTAAAGTGACTTACAGTGAGCAGGCAAGGGTTCACTGTTGTGATTAAGGACACTGATGGATCTACTGAGACCTCCTGGTAACAGGACACTGCTGTTCGTCCTCAAGTTTGCAAAGTGGTTTTGGGTAGTCAGCAGAAAAGCATCACTGTAGCTGAAAAATGTAATGTGACACATTGCACTGCATTGCCCTACTTTTACACTTGCAGCGGTGACATAGCACATTATAATATGATATACAAAACCTGACTTGCTTCCTTTAACCCCTCTCAATCTGCCCACGCCTGTTTTGCACCAGGAGCCCGGAGGAAACCACACTCCTCCCCAGCTCAGCCCGTCGGTAGGCCAGGCAGCGTACACAGCAGGGGTCCCAGGTGGATCTCTGGACGTGCAGCACCTCATGATGCAGGCGGACGCCCGGCGCAGGCAGCGCAGCAATGACAACTACTTTGAGGACGTGCCGCGATCCAAGCTGGAGCGACAGATGGCTCAAGTCAGCATGGTGAGGAAGGGAGGAGAGGATGGAGGGATGAATGAAGATGGGAACTGGGAGAGAGGGATGGACTCCAGGAGTGTATTATGAATGGTCATAATCATAGATGCAGACCTGGCTGCTTGAATACATAAGCATTCTGATAGTTGCATTAAAAGCCGAAATATAACACTGAATCAAATCGAATACGTCTCATCAAAACCTTTCAAGGTTTATTGTGTTGCTCACTGTTGAACAGTGAGAGTTAAGAAAACAGAATAAGAAATAGTAGAAAAGCTCATTTTCATACCAAAATGCGTTTCTTTATGTAAAGTAATATAAATGCAAATCTGATTTCAGGTCTACATGTAAGCTGTAATCTATTATTATTTATTAGAAACAAATGAGCTTCATGGCAGGCATTTTGTAATCAGGACAGCAGAATATATCTTAATTACAGATGAAATATTAGTAATCAAATGACAATCTTTAAAATATGAGATGGGAGATAAAAATATTGTCTGCTTAGTTATTCTAACATAAGTCATCATTAATAATCTACAGCAGACGCATCTAATGGGCAGTGTTTGCTGATAGACACGTAATAAAATAACAAACCACACATATATATGTGTATATTATATATATATATTACTATATATATATATATATTATATATATATTAATATATATTAATAGATTAAGAAGTAAGCATCTCGTCCATTTAGCCACTTGTAATCTCATGTGAAATGCTAAATTAGAACATTATGGCTTTCAATCAGTAGCAGCACAGTGATTCAGACACATCCCGGCTTACATCGGAGGCAGCAGCAGCAGCTGTGTTTTGGTTCAGTATGATTGGGGTCCTTTGGTGTCTCCGTGTGAATCAGAGAGCCCATCAGTGCAGACTAGCACACGGTATGCTTGCCCTGATAAATCTCTTTTTTGTGTGTTTGCGTCACAGTGTATCCCCCCCCCTTTTCCAAAAGCAAATCTCTGTTGAATCATCTCTGCAAGAATAGAAGGACAACTGTTAGAGGAAGGAGGAAACATCCTTATTCTGTGTCATTACCCTTGTTCTCTGGCTGTCACAATGTTTCCATGATTGGTTGCCGCAAACGTTTCTCACGCCAGCTCTTCCCTCACCGTCTGTTTTCACTCTCCTTGTTTCCTCCCCAGAGAACAATTACTGCAGCTCACTTCTTTCTAGACACATTTGGCCATTAAAGTGGTAAAACTACAAACTTTTTACCGACTAAATATTTTGAATCGTCTCTCTCAGAAGGGAAAAACTGTTTAATGTGGTTAAACCGGTAGCGTATAGCATAGAATTGACTCTCGCGGACTCTCTCCAAAGGTTCGTCCCTGAGCTGTTTATTCAACAGTTTTTGCATTGGAATAGAAGATCTCACCTCTGCGGTCCATCAGCCTTCCGGCAAACAAAAACAGTCAGATGTGAACAGACACATAAAAATGCAGTGTTTGGCAGAGGATGTGTGAATACCTCCTCAGGCAAAAATCATCTGGTTTCATTTATAAAAGGAGGACTAAAAAAAAACAAAAAAAACAGGCTTATTATCCTGACACATTCGAGAAGGATGAAGGCATGATTTGGGCATTTTCTTTCTGTTTAAAAAAAAAAAAAAGCTGGATACTTTACTGGGTGAAAAAGCAGCGAGCGGCTCAGCTGAAGCATGCGAACATGCAGGAGCCGAGCATAATTCATCCAAGTTTAATTTCCTTTTGGATGCTGTCCAAAGCATGTCCCCTTGATGGCGTGTCCACATGCAGTCATGAAAGCTGTTGTATTACAAACTTACACACTTTTATCAGGTCAACACGGGATATGCAGGATATGCAGCACAGACCGCAATGTCATGCCCTCATCTTTTACTCCTGTGTAATCCCGACGTGCAATTGCTTGTGTTTTCAGGCAGGCGAGTGGTGTGAGCCAATCACGTTGCGCCCGCCAAACGAGGCCACCTCATCCACTCCGGTGCAGTACTGGCAGCATCACCCCGAGAAGCTCATCTTTCAGTCCTGCGACTACGAAGCCTATGTGAGTCATACACTGTTGTTGAGCATTCTTAAATTTTCCCTTTTTATTGATCATGTGGTTTATAAATTCTCTATAATGTAGCAGTAAAATCCCTGAATCCAAGCACTATAAATAACTATATATTTTTCCTACCAATTGAAAAACTAGTCATAATCTTTGCTGATTCATTCGTGGCTTAACTGACTAAATGTTTCGGTTCTATTTGAATGCTGTCAATTCCTACTGCATATAACATTATTAAAGATCAGTGACCCTCAGCTTCACCTCTCAGTCAATACTGCACTCGGTTATTCTCAGTACTTTGGTAAATTTAGACCTTTGCCAGTTACATAAAGGATGTTACATATCCACGTTACCACAGATACAGCCTCGCACCTCTCACGGGTTACATACTGAGCTTCCAGGCTGAAGCGATTACTTACTTGGTAACCAGAAACCAATTTGCCATTTGCTTTCAGAAACACTGACAGGCAATATAAATGGATCTCTTAGACTGGATGGTTTGATGGCAGTGAGATGAAAACAGAGTAGTTATGAGCTTGGTTATTATGTAACAGAGGGGAAAAAAAGAAGCTGGGAAATTAAATTGATGTCTAATTTGGAAAAAAAAAGCAGGGAAAAAAATGAGATAGAGGCTGTGAAAAAGAGGTGCAAGAAGTTTCCCAAGAGTGTGTCATCCCTCTGTTAGAAACCCACCCTTCTTATTTTTTACACCTTAGAAGATTGATAGCAGAAGCTTGGACCATTAGGCTTCCAACAGTTGTATAACTACACAAGCAATGTGTTTGGGAAAATGGGAGGAATCGACGACGGGTGGGCCACCGGGGAAAAGTGGTGGTGGTGCTTTCATGGAGCCATTTATGACAAGATCTCTAATGCTATCTGTCCCAGGACAACAGGCTCCAGAAAGCTCAGAGAGTGAGATAAATGAGGGAGAGCCTCAACAGAGCGCCAGGCAAGAGCGCTCAGTGTGAATACTGGCAAGGTGACGGAAGCTGGAGAGTGAATAAGAATAAATTAGATGGATAAGACACTGAAGGGGACCGCATTGTATTTGTTTTAATAAAAAAAGAGGAATTGCTAAAAAAAGAAGAAGAAGAAAGCAACCAGGGCAGAACAATAGATGCGATGCATCAACGGTGTTCTCATTTTCAGCTCAGACTGCAAACAAACAAAATTCTCTCTACTTTCAGCGGCTCCTCGCGGAACATTGCAACTTTATTATGTCAGCTTTACAACTAGATTTTGAAATTATTATCTGAAGTTATTAGAGATCCACTTCCCGCAAAACCCTGCAGACATTTTGACATTATTACCAAACATGCAACATCATTAACAGCCAATATTATCTCAGCACAGACTGCCTACTCTTTCTTATTAATGAAAAAAAAAAAAAACGTTGAAGATAGGAAAATACAAAATATCTTTGAGTAATACTCAGGGCTCAGACACGAATGTTTTGTGATATCGCTCTTTCATATGGGTCAACCTGGTGAGCTAAACCTGCTCATGTTGCTTTGTATTTAGTAGGAAAATGGGAAACAGTGATTTACTGAAACATTTGGAAACACAAATGGGAACTCAGTATATAAGGCAAATAAAGTCTGTACAATTCTAACAACCTTCAAAGTCAATATTTGGTGTGACCACCTTTATGCTTCACAGCTTTCTTGTATGTCTATAATAGTCTCCAGGAAAAGTTCTCCAGGCTTGTTGAAGGACATTCAAAGCTCCTCTTGGGATGTTTGGCTGTAAACACTCACTGTTGTGGCTCGATCATGACACATCCCTCCATAAGACCTGTTGCCAGTGATTTTCAGTTCAGTTCTTGTGTCATTTGGGATACCTCAGCCTTTTCTCCTCGTTTCTCATTTCTTAAGAACTTGACTTTCAGGTACTATTCATCTGAGTTTTTAGGCGTGACACTTCTTCTTTTGTCCTCTACTTGATTAGTTTTCTCAAATTCTTAATAGCACAATGGCACTGTGTTGAGATACAAGTTTTCTGCTTGTAGCTCTTTGAAAATCACCTTGTTGGTGCAAAATACTTTTTCTTTTCTTTCAAACAGTGTTTGAAAAATCCTTGACATTTACACAGATTCAGTTAAAAAAAGAAGAACAAATAATTTGTTTGTGACAGGCTTCTATCAACGAAAGATAAAGACAGGAAATAATCCATTTTAAATGCTAAGTTGTCTGTTATGTGTAGACAGCACTGACTCATTCCTTGCATTGGGTGCGTATTTTGTGCTTGAATCATTCAAAGGTCAGTATTAAGTGGATTAATTGGAGATTAATTATATGAATTAGAGGAGTGGGACTATGCCTCTGAACACTTCCAGTTCTTATCTATATATGACATCCTCTGTTCTACAAGCAGTTTGTTCTCATTTTCAATCCCTTCACTTCTTCACTTCCCATTAGTACATGGGGATCTGCCAGGCCCAAAAGTCGCTGCCGGTCCCCTCCGAGGCCTTCCCCAAACCGCAGCTCAGTTCATGTTTAAGCCATTCGATTTTATCCACTAAAAACCGCTGTCAAACCTCTAAAATGAGGATGTGGGCCCCTCTAATGAAACATTCCTCTGAAAATGGTCAGGGGTTAGCGCTGGACTGTGAAATCCAACAAATGTGCAAAGAAAAGCTTTGATAGACGATTAGAAAGGCTGGAGAACTGGAGAAAAAAAATTGCAAGAAAAATCTGGCTCCTTGGAAGCAAAATATAAAGAAATAGGGGGGTGGCTCAAGATTGTTGGACAGTACTGTCATTCAGAGTTTTCTCGACCTTTTCCTCCAACACCAACATGAAGTTTACATTTGTTGGTGACAATCCCAGCAGGCTTAGAGGTCCACTGTCCACTTAGCATGTAATGAAAACCATAAACCTATGCAGAATAACAATATATTAACATATGCTAAACATTAAAAATGTCCTTCTGTTCATCGTTGCATGCGGATGTTACAGTTACCCAGATACAGACTTACAAAGCTAGTAGCATGGCTGTAGAGTCTTAGCCTTGTTATGATGCCTTGAATTTTATTTGAAACTAATAAAAACCAAAAATTACTGCCAGCGACATGGTATAGGAGACAGCAGCTGGTCTTGTGTGCAACTATAATGCAATTTCTCAGATAACTGCCAGCAAGCCAGCCATAACAGCGATTTAACGTTGTTAGCTTGAGTCAAGACGAAGTATTAACATGCCCAGACGACCTCTTTCTGATCTGCCAAGGACTAGACTGAAAATATGACTGAGTCAGTGTCTGTGCTGCGAAAAAGCAACTCATCATGCAAAGCAATTGGCCCAGAATGATGTTTCGTGACTTTAAGCGAATATATTGTCCATCAGATTCAAGACAAATCGCGTGTGGTCCTTGACTTTCGAGTCATTTATTGTAGAGTTAAATAGATGAGATAAATGAAGCTGTAAATATTTCTCTCCTAATTCACTAAAAGCCTGCTTAAGGTCCCACTTTGGGGAATAAAGCCCCGTCAAGAAGCTGGTCAGTCATTGTGAGGCAGTGAATGTCACGCCCATTAAGTGCTCTAATGCCTACATAAACATTGTCCCTGTAAAACACCGTCACCATTAGTAGCTTCTTTATTAAATCTGATACTACGTGTGCAAAATTACTAACTGCATCCAGACAGAAGGATCTACCAGACAGCAATGTTAATGTACCTCAGGGAGCCACTCAAGGTTGATGTAATCACTGCTGTGTGCCTTTAATGAAACCCCATACGAGCCATGTAGGAAGCCATCCACTCAGTGCCTTCTGTATTGTTTATGCTGTTTACATCCAGGCTGAGCTGGTTGACAGTCAAGACCTGGCCAGCTGCTAAACTAGACACACAGCAATGGTTAGAGGTAGAGATGCACAGATTCCAATTTCTTTGGTCGATACCGATTTCTGCCAATTCGCTTGAGCACCTCGTGACCCTAATTTTGCTTATCCTGAGAATGAATGAATGGGATGGTATTTTTGTTCTAAGAACTAAAACTAAGTCAACTTATCTTTAGTGGAAAATATAATTTTTATAATGTTCCCCCAAACTGCAATAGGTTCCAGATCTAATCTCATTTGCAAAACTGAAAATGAAGTGCTCTGCTACTGGAAAAGGGTAGAACTAGCTTTTTATCAGCAAAAAAAAAAAAAAAAGGATCTGCAGATAAACTGTATATGCAAGCTTGACTAGCCACTGGGACATCAGACACTGGTTTTAGTAATGTCCTCTTGGGAAGCCATATCTTGGCATTTTAAAACTAGATACAACAGCTGAGGGGGAGACACCAGTTACCCCAGGCTAGCTATCATTAAGAATGCAGGTTTAAGGAACTATGTATCAGTTTCGATTTTCAGACCCAGATGCTCTTTCTTTGATATACAGTCTACAAATACATTGATGAAGCAGGTGTCTTAACTTACGATGTGATTAGAGAGGGCTGCTGTTGGAGGTTGTGGTATCCTCTTCAGCAGAGATCAGTGTAGCGTTCAGCTACGGCACTGCTTGCTGATCATTTGGCAGGTTGGCTCAAGCCATTTTATCATAATCAAGCCATAGAGCAGGGTCACCGCTGCAAGCAGCTGAGGCAGTAAAACAGCTGTCACCAGTCCCGACCTAGACAGGAGCAGTAATGGTAGAAACAGCAATGTCCTACTGAGCAGCACTGATGGCAGCAGGATGGTCTGTTCATTCTTTGAGAGGATGGCTCTGACTAATTTATCAGTCACCATCAGAACGGCGAAGAAATTTGACAGCAGATGACTCTTCCTGCTGCTAGACTTTGTCTCTATCATTTCCGTTTGAGTTATTGGAAATTTAAAAGCAGTCACAAAGTTGATGCAAAAGTTCACGTATTTACCTAGCATCGTGTTGTTTGTGTGTTTCCAACAGTACTTGGGCTCAATGTTGGTGAAGGAGCTGAGGGGGACGGAGTCCACACAAGATGCCTGCGCCAAGATGAGGGTAAAGCTCAATCTAACTTTATTTCTGGTACTGGAACCTCAAGCCAACATCTGGATAATTTTGATTTATTAAAACTCACTCGACCAAATTTAGCCTTGATAGCTAGGGATCGGCCTGCCAGGGCCTCTGCTCCTGGCTGCCGCCCGACGCACATTGCACCTAACCCCTGACCCCTACTGCGCCTCCTGTGGGTGGTGGGCCTACAATAACATGGGCCCATGTCCCTTTTTTGGGCTGTGCCCTACCGGGCCCCATGGACTAAGGCCCCAAACTAACTAAGTTAAATTTAAGTAAAATTATTACCAAGCTATGCTTACTAGCTTATACTATAGCAGCTAGCATGAGAGCAGGCTTACTAAACCTTTAAATCTGGGACACAGTCTGAATGCCCTCACGCTCTCACTTGAACTTAAACTTAAAATATCATAGCGGTGGATTAAGTGTGTTGAGGGATTTATTTTTAATATCCTTGCCTGGGTTGCTTGATACCTCACAATCCCCCTTTTACCTCTAATCACCTTATCTCTTCCTCACGCCTTGTGTCATTCTGCTGCTCCCTCTTTTTTTCATTCCTCCTTTCCTTTGTTTCTTACTGACAAAGAGAAAGAGGAATGTGCCCTACTATCCATGTCTTTTCATCCTGCTCATTCTTTCCATATTTTACTCTTAACGCTGACTCTCTCACTCCTCCGGCCCCCGGCTCTCACCCCGAGCTGCTGCGGTGTGAAGAAGAAATTTAATATTCGTATGCAAAGCTCTCGGTTCCTCTTCTCTCTTTTCTTACTTTCTATATTTACAGTATGCCACCATCATCAGAGGGAATTTTTTCTTCTGCTTCTCATTTTCCTCAGTTTTACCAACCTTTTCCTGCACACTGTGGTTGTAATTAGGTGCAAAGAGATGCACGTCATATTAACCCCAGCTTTTGTAACATCGCTAACGTACCACTCTTTCATCCTTCCCTCCACGGTTGAGGTAGTTTTGGATGTTTAAGATCCAACTTCACTTCTCGGCTCGGATTTACTGCCAGCGAACTGCCTTTGTCAGTTTTTCAACACTACCTGATAGTGACAGGGTCGAACTGTAGCAGCAACATGCTGCAGGAAGGGAGCAAAGAACAGAACAAAGACAAACAGATATGGGATAGCAGCTCGCGTGTTCGACAAGGGAGGAGAAAGAAAGGACGGGCTGTGATAGGAATATGGATGCTGAGGAGGAGGAGATGACAAGCGATGAAGAACACAAAGTTGTTCAGAGAAGGAAGCTTTGAATATATTAAACCTTTTGTCAGGTAGAATGACAGCTGGGAGGGTAACGCTGACATCGCTGTAAATCACACAATTCTTCACAGCACCTCTCGGCATAATGAGTTCAGTATAGGTATGTAATTACAAGGAGTGAGGAGAGATATACTGTCAGAGCCCGATATGACCTAAAAGTTAATAGACTTATTGAATTGAATCGCTGCAGTGACTTGAGTGTAGAAAGGTAGTTTCTTATTTTATTTTTCATAACCTTTGAGAATGGTGCGACTAAAGTTTGGCAATCAAAGCAGAACAGAAATCCTCATTAAATACGCCAAGTTAAATTGTCAAGTTTACTTTCACGAGCTGCCTCCAAAGTCACTGCTGTTTTTTTTCCTCTTTTTTTGTCTCTACCTTCTCATTTTTGCACAAGAAGTCGACAGAACAGATGAAGAAAGTGCCGACCATCGTGCTGTCCGTGTCCTACAAAGGAGTGAAGTTCATCGACGCCACAAATAAGGTACAGCAATGCGCACGGCTCGCTTCCTGTGAGGCCCGGTGTAAATGACACACTGAGTGTAAAGCCCGCACAGCATTGCAGTGCTCGTGTCTGCTCTGTGCTGCTGCAGCCTCGCTGATTTACAACGGTATGTACACAGAGCACAAACAAGCAATAATCAGGATGAAAAGGGATGAGCTGAAAGTCTAGAACAGAATGGAAATATTTGAGTTTCATGTGCACATGTATAAGAAAAGAATCGGGTACATATTTGGATTCTTGTTTGAATTGCACTAAAACAGAGTATGCTCAAGTAGGTCATCCACACTGAAATATACAGAGACAGTTTTAGATATTAAAGTTACCCAACAGTGATGAGAAGGAGACCAGCTGGTGATTCTTACCAGAAAATTAATTAATTAAAAAAAAAATCCCAAGTAAATCTGTATTTGGCAATTCAGTTCTCCAATTAGTCACACAGACATGCTTGTGCCTTCTCTCAGTCCTGCGTTGTTATAGAACACAGAAGGAGATGAAATGTGCAGCAGCTCCCTCTACAACGGCACGCCACAACTCATTTTGCGTTAGGCTAGTGTAGGGTTTCCTCCACGCCCTGGAAACTAAAATGGGCTGCGTGAAGACGTCCGCTTCTACGTATATCTGCGATTGTCTCCAACACAATATAAAGATAATTAAATGTGCAATTATTTGTGGAGGGAAATTACACAGACTTTGGAAAAATGATTATGCGTCTTCCTGTTGACACCATTATAGCTCTTAATGTATAAAAAGCATCCTTAAAACATCTTTTAAAATGTAATAATAAAACTATCTGTGCAGCCGTCCTCGTGGATTTTCACTAATGTACTAAACCGCGAACGACAGACGGAAAGAAACCGTATTAAGTACAAAATCCATTAGGATGATCAAATATAGTAAGTCATTATCAGTCCTCTGTGGTTACCTGCTGTGTGGGTTCACCCAAAACAACAACTACAAGGAGAGGATTCCTCTCTTAGCTTAAACCAAGTAATCAATATGCCTATTTATATATAATCAGTGCAGAGAGACAGCTCTGTCCTGTATGACTAACCTGGCATTTCACTGGTTGAATGTTATGCAACTTCTTTTTGATTTCTCTCAGGTGGAATCATCTGCATTGCACCGTTTTTTTTTTATCTCTACAATATGTTGTTTTAATGTTTTCATTTTCATGCCCTTAAAAAAAATCCACTTCTTCTAGATCAAAGTTTAATGCATTTTCAGCATATTTTCTTATAATAGCTCAAAGCAACTTCTAACTTAAATGTAATGTTTACTGATGTTGGCCCCCGCTAAAACTTCTCTTTGGGCTTTGATGTTTTTTTAATTCACAGCGCTGAGATGTGCTTTAATTAACGCAACACAAAGTCTGAGCGTTCTCCAGTGACATTACCAGAGGACAAATTCCGACTTAGTGACTCCAGAAACGTCTCAAACTGAAAAGTGTGCTACAGTGATTATGAGTTTGAGATGAATAATAAATCAGATTTGTTTTTCCGTGAAGTGGCTCAATGGAGATAATCTACGATCTCTCTGTGCGCTTCTTTATCGTTCTGCTTCTGTGTTTTCTCTTTTTGTTTCCTCCTCTCCGTCTTTCGCTCTCTCTCTGTAGAACATCATAGCGGAGCATGAGATTCGTAACATCTCGTGTGCAGCTCAGGATCCAGAGGATCTGTCCACATTTGCCTACATCACCAAAGACCTCAAGTCCAGTCACCACTACTGCCATGTCTTCACTGCTTTTGATGTGGTCAGTATTGACACTCTGCTGTGCTCACAGGCGAACATCAAACTCACTGTCCAAGATCACATTAACCTATTTGATTTTGCCTTTTTATCAGAACCTGGCCTACGAGATCATCCTGACGCTTGGACAGGCCTTCGAGGTGGCCTACCAGCTAGCCCTACAGGCTAGGAAGAGTGGCCACGGATCATCCACACTGCCCGAAAGCTTCGACAGCAAACCCAGCAAACCTGTCCCTAAGCCACGCATCAACATCCGCAAGTCTGTAAGTAACGCAGCTGCACAGCTGCACAGCTGCACAGCTGCACTACTGTTCAAAGAAAAAATCCATCCCTGTCAAGTTCCACAATAGTGAGGCCACATGTTCCAGATGGTCTGGATTGGATTGCTTTGGTCTAAAGTGAAAAAAGCTTCAAATTTTTTGAATTTCATTCCAATAAAGCACTCCTATTTTCACTGGACTCTGTCCATAATACCCTACCAGTATCATCCTCACTCATTTACATTATTTCTAAACATCTGAGATTGGTTTTCTAGCTCTATCTGCTCATGTTCTTTGCTTGCGTGCGTCTTGGCCCAGCGGACTAAGCGGCAGAGGTGTAGGTGGATATTTGATCTGTTAAGCGTTCACTCAGTCTTACTGTCCCTGCAGTCTCTTACACACTTGGCTGATTGATGATGCGTGTTTGCATAAAGCTCCAGGGAGGCTTGTCCGCTCTCTCTCCGGGTGTGCGTGTGTGCGTGTGCGTGTGTGTGTGTGTGTGTGTGTGTGTGGTTCTGTGTAAAAGAAGATAAAGAATTCTCATGTGGAGGAGTGCATTATAGGGACGAGCTTTTCGCTCATGTGCAGTAATCTGCTTAAGGTAGGGCTGGGTATGATAAGAAATAAATACAAATGCTGATATACAAATGCTTTGATGGTTTAAATGATAAGCTGAGGAGCTTCACTTAAGCTGCATCAGTGCATACAGAGCAAAAGAGGAAAAAAACCTAGTCTTCTCTCAAACCTGCAGGAAAGCACCTGAATGCAACCGTAATGGATTTAGAGAACGATGATGGTTAAGCAGAGCAAAGTGCTCCATTTTTGCCCTTATTTCTGCTTGCAGATATCATTCAGAACTGTGAACTTGTTCTGTTTCCTCCTTTAGCCTGACATTCCCTGAAGTGTAATAGATATCCTCGTTGGCGGCTATATAGTAGCTTGACAATGGCTTTAGTCCAGCTTGTAGCATCGATGGGCTAAAAGATAGCCCTTCAATAGTGCTTATTGAACAGATCGTTCTGCAAACGAAAACTGTTTCATGTCTTGTGTCAACTCGATAATCGGGATGAGTCCAACGTCTGAGCCCAGGCAAAAGCTACAATGACGGATGGTCATATTAAAAGTGTCCAAGGTTTCAAATATTACAGTTATAGTGTTCCAAAAGCTCAGGCTGCAGATGCACCAATGGCTCAATTTCAGAGTGTTTTTCTGTTCTTGGATGTACTCTTGTACTCTTATATGACACCAAAGCGAGGATATTATCTCATGCACCCACCCACTGGTCAAACCTCCCGTTTGCAAACGGCAAAGAGAAGAAATTTTAAAGGGATTGTGGCTTTAAAAAGGAGAGGAAGTAAAATGGCCTGTTTTAGGCAGGTGGTGAACTAAGAGTCTGCAGCAGTTACTTTGGACACATTCATTCAAAGTCTCTCGAGTTGAGTCCAAGGCTTAAAATCTGAAGCTGAAATGAGCTTAATAGGTCTCAGACAAGTCAAAATTTATCAGTCATGCTTCTAGTGGACTCTATATGCCCCTAACAGTTATGCAACTTATATTGATACATATAAATTATGGTAATCAATACCCAGCCCTCGCTGTTTAACAGCTTCTTTTCCAAACGGTATCATAAAAGCATGTGTCATACCTCCATCAAATACGGCAGTCACAAAGTCTATCAATAAACCTGCAGCCCTTCCATAAACCCCACAACAGACAATTAAAATAGTCACCCTAACCCACTCTGCACTCACTACCCTCCTCCACTGACAAACACCAGCTCAGGCTCAGCAGCACACATGTGAGTCCAAAAGGCCTGGTACAGAGTTATAGTTGCTGCTGTAACGGTGTGCTTGGACCAAATTTACATACTGTGAGTCATGAAAAAAAAAAAGGTGATTGAGTGGAACAGCAGTTTCATAGGACTGCTCTCGCTTTCTAAAGTTAGTGTGAGATGTGAGATGGTGAGGAAAGATGGGAAAGGAGAGTGCCTACAGAGATGATGGATGATGGCATGTGTACACACAATCTGCTTAGTCGGCAACCATTACATTAACCATTAATTGTCTTTTTTCCTGCCTGCTTCATGTATATGTATGTGTGTGTGATGTAGTTAATGGCTTGCGGTGTGCAGCAGGGCAAAGATACTGCAGGATTCATTTAATATTCCTGCCACCCGCCAGCAATGATCTCCATCCTCCAGCACCTCTAAACCCATGTCCTTTAAAATACAGTAGCTTTGTTTCTCTGTGCACCAGTAACAGTTTCTCCACAACCTCCCATTGTCATATTTCTCCTGTGAGCATATCAGCTTGCAAATCCCCCCCAACTTCCACTTAACTTACAAAGGTGAACTTTGAACTAACGAAGACTGGTATGTTACTGTAATCTGTAATGTGACACTTTTAAAGCAACAGATTTCATTTTAGATGGTCTACAACAGGCCTGGGCCGTATCAGATTATAACAGCTGTTTAGAAGTTTTTATGGAAGATGGAGACTATGAGTGTAGAAAAATGCCTCCGCCCCATATACTGTATATTAAAGATGGACATAGCAGTCGTGGTTTCACTAATTGGTTAGCAAAATCGGGCTTTTAAGTGTTTTCGCTGTTGCTATATTTTTTGTTACTTAACCAGACAAATCTAACTGACAAACTGAGAGACTAGGAAACCCTTACCCTTTAACAACCTTTAAAACAACTGGAAACCCGTCATGAACCTGGGGAAAATTGTCTAAATCCATTTGAATAAACTGAGCCTGAGTGTTAGAGACACTTTTTTTTCAGAGCTTTTTTGGTACAGTTGCTGTGGCATATTCATACTAGTGGGAGTGTTGTTGCCATGCAGGAGTTGCTATATAAGTGTGGCGTAACATTGCCTTCTCCAGTTTGAGTTTTGCTGTGTTGTGGTAATGCTGCTGTCCCCCGCTGTTTCCAGGGCAATGAATTTGCTGCCATGTTGTTGCCATGGTTTTTTTGCTCTTGGTTTTAGACCGCTGTTGCCTTTTTTCTGTTGCCATGTAGCTGCTCTGTCCTGGCTGTGGTTTTTGCCTTGCTGCTTTGTTGCTTTTGGAGCAGGCCGACTTTGACTTGTGTATGACCTCTGCCTCCCTGTAGGTCATCATGCCCCCCTCCAGCCGCTGGTCACTGGGCCACATTTACACCCCTCACCGGCCTCCTCTTCACCCTCCTCTTCCTCCCTCTCGACTCTTCCATCTTCCTCACAAAGCTCAGTCACAGGTCCTCCACGCTTTTCCTTCTCTTATCCTTTGTTTTCACATAATTTTTCATTTATTCAAGGAGAAGGCGCCATCTGTAAGTGCTTCCATTTTAATTCTGTTGCTTTTACTCAACTGACTCTGCATCCTTGTGTGTCCTCTTTGCTGTGTGTGTGCGTGTGTGTTTCTTCATTTACTACCCCATGGCTCCATATCACTTTTAGTAGCGCTGGTATTAAAAAGACAGCCAATCTTGCAGAGCCAATCCATTTCATAAGTGCTTCAGTTTTTACGTGTCTGTCTGTACCAATTCAGCCTCTGGATGGAGATGCACCGCCTCCTTCTTTGTGGTATATTTGAGATGGTAAATTAATATAAATAAAGCGCTTTGATCAATAAACAGTAGAGTTGAGTGGTTGGACGTATAAACCAGCTAACAGTAATTGGACCGAGCTGAAGGATTGAGGGATTTTTTTTGGTCTTTTTTAAATTTTGTTAAATTATGCTAATTAAAGGGTCTGGCTCTTGAGAATTCGACTCAGTCAATAATTATCTCGTGAATTCCTTCCTTTCTTTTTTTGTGTTTAATAAATTCTTAGAGTTGCCAAAGATTCTCATCATTAGTGACCTTGTATGTCCTAGCTTGCCAGCTACGACAAGTGTTGTCAGCCTTTCAGTGGCACATGCTGCAGGTTGTGTGGCCTAAATACTGAATTGCATAAATTTTCCCCATTTACTTGCTCTTTCATGGCTCAGTCATACTACAGTGAAAATAGGACCGCAACCTCTTTCCGATTTGGAAAAAACTGGTGGTTGCCCAAAGACTACGTTGATTTATAGTTATATAGTATATTATATATTATATTGAGTGTGTTGAACGTGCAACACACTCAAATTCTGGGCAACCAATTTCAATCACATGGTGATTGCTTGGGTCAACTGGCAGAAGGCAACCTGTCTCCACACCATCGCAGTATGACTCAGATTGACTGCAGTCACCCTCAGATAGACTAGCAGCAGTCTGCAAATAATTTCCATCTAATTTATAAATGGAGACAGATTTCCAGCATATTGTAATCACCCTGAGTCAGTCTTCACCGACAAGTGCAACTCAGCAGGAAAGCATCGCAATAGGGGACTTGATTCAACTGGTTATTTTGCGTTTATATTCCTATATAAAAGTAAGGTTTTAGACTGCCTATAGCATTTTGCAGTTACATTTCCGTTCTGCAGAAACTATATCACTATGTGGGAATGAATTTCTGAATTTCTGTTTTAAATTTATGAGGGTCTGGCAGGACTTAGAATTTTATGTGAATTTCTGTGTATATAGATGGCAACAGATTTGTGTTTTTACTGATTTGTTACAGTTGAACAACTTGACTCCATTCAATTGGAGCAAATTGGTCTTCTTGCCAATTTATCACATGTCAAATTTACTTTGAAGATTGTTCTTTGAAGCAACTAAGGCAATAGGGCTGGAAGTTCACAATAATTGTGGTTATCCTGCAGTCTCCAACTATGGTTTTCCCTAGTTTGACTGTAACATTAGAGGCTGTACTTCATTTAGATCAAGGCTGTGAAACATAAGTCCCGGGGGCCAGAATCGGTCTGGCAAAGACTCCAGTGTGCCTCACTGGATAGCTTTGGAAAATGATAACAAGGGACAAATTTTGGACTTTTAGCTGCATTTTTCCTTTATAAAGATCCCCATGGGTCCCTCCATACTCATACACCAATGTAATTAGGTAATAAAGAATTAAATGGGAGAAAAGTTTCTGGGTTTTCAACATCTACAGAAATGTGTTATTTGTTTTTTTACAGCATAAATCTGCAGTTTACAGATTTATTCCTTCCAGTTTAAGCCTGAAGAGTGCTGACAGATTCTTTCATTTCATATGTGGAAAAACTGATGTCTACTGTTGTACTTATATTAAGATCTCTCAGGGATTGAATGTGTAGTTAAAACTTCACAAGTCATTTTCATGCGAATCATCAAATCAAACGCTGGACTCAGAGTGGCCTGCTGGAGCATTTTAAGACACTGCCTACCCTTTATAACAAATGCTTAAAAATGAGCTAAATGCTTAAACACACTTAAAACCACGTAGGTTCAGTACTTCCAGAACTAAATGCTTGCACTGAACTTTTATATTTGGAGTGCTTTCACTTCTGGCCCAACCTCACACTCGCCCAGAAACATCTTCATCTATCACACAAAGCATATGATTTTTATAAAGGGTCATTAAAGAACGACTGCCGTTCCACAGTGTATGTAGTGCGCCAAGAAATTATTCAAAAGTTCAATAGACCCACACTACAAAGAGCATGTTTTACATCGGTTTGGACCACTGAGTTCGGAGCCAAATCAAACATTGGACGCCCCGGTAGCATCACTTAAAGTTTCTCTTCCCACCCCTTCCTTGGGAAAAATTCATTTTGAAGGCAGACGATTCATTCAGCGTCTTCATGTGTGGTTGATGAATTTGATACTGGTGATGCTCTGGATGAGCTCTTCACTGAGCGTGATGTGTTGTGATGCCGCGAGATCGAAAGTGTGTCTGTGTTTGCCCTAATCCTATAACCCCAAAACAGGATTATATGGTCTTGCTCTGGCTGTGTGTGTGTGTGTGTGTGTGTGCGCATGTGTGCGTGTGTGTAAAGAAGAGGATAGAGAACCATATTAAAATTACAGTTAGTTTCAGTACTGTTGCTGTAGCAGTGTGTTAAGAGAAGATAACAGAACCATGGCTCTGTCAGTGCACCGCAGAGTTAATCCAGTTTCCTCCAACAACACTACGACACCTTTCAAAGCTGATCTTTTTTGGCTTTATTATAAAATGTTAACACTACATGGAGATGCAGTTAATAATTTGCTCATATATGTTTGCAATTCAAGTTTACAAACACGCGTATTCCTGTACCGAGTCAACTTTACCACCGCTGCCATCCCCCAAAACCATCTGAAAACAAACCAACAGACTGGAGGAAAGCCACCCTCGGCAATACGCCTCTTGATTGTTGCCTTGGGGTTATTTTTGAAAGCGCTCTAGATTGTTTGGTTTGTTTCTCAGCCACCACGATGGCTTTGCAGTTACAGACAGCATCTCTGTTAAAAGTCTTCGAAGCTGCAGGAAGTGGCTCAGGAGGTAGAACAAGTTGTCTGCTCAACGGAAGGTTTGTGGTTCGATCCCTGGAAGTGCCAAAGCATCCTTGGGTAAGCCAAGGCCAAAGTGCTTGTGAATGAAGAAGGTTGTATAGCATTTTAGAGTGGGACAGGACTATATAAGAACTAGTTCATTTACCATTCGTACAGCTTATAGGTGATGCACTGCCTCAGTGTGAACACAGACATGACATTTATTCATATTTAAAAAAAATGTGTATATTCTCAGTTCTGCTTTCTCATCTGTAATATTTTCTCCCGCCACCTCATTTCTCTGTAAGCAGCCGATCCTCCACCTCCATCTCATTCATTCTACTGTATCACTCTGATGTCACCGACTATCAGCATGAAATAATATCTGAAAATTGCACCTCAAGTGGATTTTTTTAAAACTACAACACAGACTTTTGCATTGTTTGGTTTGAAATCATTCAACACAGCGATACTATATAATAAATTGGCCGTTTATCCTGCTTCTCCCCCTCTTGTTTTTTTCTAACTCTGCTTCTCCCCGTCCTCCTCCTCCTCCGACTCTCTCTCTGTCAGATGGAGCAGCCATCCATGGATCAGAAGGGCCATGCCAACGTGCCGTGGATTGTGGAGCCAGGTCAGGAGGCCAAAAGAGGAGTCAACACCAAGTACGAGACCACTATTTTCTAACATACACCCGCCTTGTCCAATCCTGTGTGTGTGTGCCTTTCAGAGGTTGCCCTGTACCGGGGCCCCGCCCCGGAGTTGGGCACGAGCGACGCACGCCGCCGCGCCACCTCACCGGCTGAAAAAATAAAAATAAAAAAATTAAATAAAAAAAAAAACCATCTCGCCCCGCCCCCGATAGCCGAGCCTGTCCACTGCATGATGACGTTTGGCGCTGCGTTGTCTCTCTCTTCTTTCTCCTTGTCTCTTCTTCTCTCTTTTATTTCTGCTCTCCCCCCCTCTCTTTGGCCTGGGCCACATCCTCCTGCCTGCAGGGCTGGCGCATGACCTTTGAACCCAGGGCTGTGGTGCACTTCTGTCTCCACCTGTAGGGGGAATGGTCAGCTCTGTTTTTCCACTTCATGTTTGTCGGTCAGTCAGCAGTCAACCACTCGGTTATTCTGCTTCCAGTTCTTGTTTTTTTTGTTTCTTTTTCTTCCTGTTTATGGGTGCAACCATTTGGCTTCGTCTCTCTCCTCCTTTTCTCCTCCAACTGCCTCCATCCCTCACTTTACTATTCATTTTAGCCCTTTTGTCCAACTGCCCCTGATAACTTGAACAAGATTTGAAACCAGAGCACTGCTAAGAGGCGAAACAGTGTTTTAGCTGTCTCTGAGCACCGTGTGGGAGCTGACAGTGAGGAGGGATGTTGTTCTAACTTGACAACTGGAGGGAAATTTAGACTTTTTAAACACTTTTTAATCAAAGAGGAGAGCTGAACTTTGGGAGAGGTGATGTAGCACAGTCTAACTTTGACTCAAACTGGTTCATCCAGCAGGCTACTAGAATGTATTTCAACTTTTTGATTCTTTATATCAGATTATTTTTTGGAGATAAACTTGTAAATTTCTTTGACAAACTATATTTTAAACTTGACCTGTGACACAGGAAGATCTAGGTGAACTTTTGCTTTTCTAGCACCTTTTTTCAGCACATGTTTGTGTATCTGCTCAGAATTACTTTAATCACGTGGAGTTTTTTGTTTTTTTTTTACTTTGTTTTCATTTTTTTTCCCAGCCCATAAACCTTGTTTTATTTGGGGGAATAAATCTTGTATGTAAAAGGTTTAGCATGTGGCTTGTGAAACGCATGGTGGCCATTTTGGATTTGCTGAGCAGGGGGGCCAGTGGAGAGGCGGGGTGTGAGGGCTCTCTCGATAAGTGATGTCATCTCATTTGCAGGGCAATGCCGGATGCTCATGTCTATTACTGTGGAATGCAAAGAATGTAGCCAGCCCTAAACATGGACCTTGTCACACACACAATGCAAAAAGGACTACAAAGGACCCTCTTGTTCACTTTTCAAAAGGACTACAAACATGGATGCTACTCCACAGTGTTTAAAGTTGACTACAAAATTTTAACGTCATTCATCCACGTGTTGCTAGACACAGTAAACATCGGACCAACTAATAATTAAACACACACACACACACACTGACAGGACTGCATCTTGACAGACGACCGTCTGCTCTGAATGTACACTTATTTGAAAGCAGCCTCAACTTTCTGCAACTCCAGCAGGATCCGTTTTATGCGCCCAACTGGGAGGCATGACCTTCGAACTTTTTGGCAGGTCAGCATCTCCATGGAGACTGTGAGTATGGTTACAGGGCATGTTTAGGTAATAGACGGCGGGCTGACTAAAGGGCATCCCCGGGCATGTGTCAGTGTTGGCATGAGTTCCACGATGTCTGGCTGGCTCTTTTGGTCCTCTTTATTTTATTTCTTTGTTGTTGTTTTTCCTTTAATGTCAGAAAATAATAAAGAGATATATGCACAAGTGTGTAAATGACTAGCTGCAACACGCTCAAGATGCAACGGGTGTCTCATAATGGATGAAGAGCCTATGTGAACAAAGCATCTAGAGTCTAAAAAAAAAAAAGTATTCTATTCGTATTGCCTGACATTTTAATGTTTAATATGAGAGTATTATATTACCATGAGGATTATGATTATACTTGTGCAATTCTTGTCTACTGTTGTCTTAATGTTACATTATTTTTCTATGATATGCTGAAATGAAAACCTTGGGCCTGAGAATGATGGCAATCCTTTAACAAAAAAATAAAAATAAAATAAAATCCGAAACTAGGCGATCACACTTGTACACAGAGAGCGAATGTCGCAGGTGGCTAGCTAACTTTTAGGTCAGGTCAACTCTCCATCATTTCTCACGGGGCTCTACTCTTATCTAGCAGATGTACTATTTTAAAAACGCAGTATTACTGTATTATTTGGATGAGAAATCATCCAGTTATAAAGTGTACATAGATATTTTGCCAACTCATTGTTCATACATGTAAAAGAAAAGAATAAAGGATTTGCAGCAAATGGCACTGGAAACATGGTACCAAAATAAAGGTTGGACATTTAAAAAAAAAGTGGTAGATTGTAGAGACTGTATTTTGAGTGCAAACTAACATGAATTATTTGGTGTCATCACTGCTGACCAACTAATGTACATAGGCTTGGGCTTCCAGCACACTGATTTTTGTAATTTTGGCCATTATTTATATCCTTGTAAATCACATTAAATAAAATATGACTTGTACAACCATATTTATCCATGGAATGAAGTTGTTATTACATCATCTTTTTTTTTTTCCCCCATTCTCAATCACTGCATAGAAGATCTAATACCAGAGTAAACATAAACATTCCTAGACACACATTATCTGACAATAGTGGCTTATTTTGGTATTGGTTACCACTGTGACTGAGAGCAAAGATGGAGATATTTGAGTAATGTTCCTCTGTTGTAGTGTCTGCAACTTTTCAACCTGAATATTTCAATGAAGCTTTAGCTGCAAATCCTACTCTGTTTGTAGTACTAACCCTTGGTGCAGCTTCTGCAGATGATAAGGATGCATCTCCAAGTATCACAAATCACGTTGCACTGATTCTCATTTGCAAAATGTACTTTTACCATCTGGGTCTTGCCCCATTTCTGCACAACAATCACCATCTCAGAACTTACTCGCACATTATAGTGTGTGTAATATTTCACATACCTCAAACTGGACCTGCTGCCCAGCTGTGATGTCAGGGACTTCAAAACTTCACCGCTTTCTACCAAGGAAATTAAGAAAGAGGAGAATCATTTGTCTCCTCCAGGCTTCAAAGCATTAAGAATCTCTACAAATCTTCTCTTTGTATTCATTCTTAAAGAGCTCTTCTCTTAGTCTTGCTCAACAATTTGAACACAAATTAACACTCATGGGAAAAGCTGTAGTTAATAAATCAGTACAATATTGATTGCAGAGCTCTCAGAGTTACTTTCTCCTCCACCAGCTTGTTTTTGGTTTGTAGGAAGTTCCTCACAGAATCCTGGTGGATTATTTATACCTTCAGGTGGTGAAAATCACTGAGGTCTCAGGGCAGTCGTGTAAAAGGAGTTAGTGAAAGTGAAAACAATTGTGAATCCACTGGACAGAAAGATGCTGAGACAGTAGTGAAACAGACCAAAAGTTTGTTAAAGTGTACTTTCACCGATAGTTATACTCAGCATCAAGACTGTAGTGAAAAGACATACTCGAGAAAAAGAACAAAACCCACTGCTGTGCACTACAAACCTCTAATTAGGTGTATACAATTATATATAGGAATTTTTTAGTATACTAAAAACAGATCGCAGATGAGCTCAGAACTGATCAGATGAGCAACTTCCTGCTCTGACACTGAGGTCACTGCAGGGTGAGCAGTTAGCTGCCTCCTCATTAACCAAATCATCGAACTTTGCATGTAGAAAAAGCACACACACTGACACGACACGTCTGCAGTGAACCATTGCAGCTGCTGTGTATTTGCAGAGAGACTCCCCTATTGTAAAGTGTTCGCAATATGAAATCCTAACGAGCAACAAATCTCTGCATATACAACAGAAACAATCATTTTCAAAAATGACCGCTCCCATCTGCTTCCTAATTACATTCACTTCTCAGCTGATTAACCACATTTCATTTGCATTTTTCTGGTTTTCCAACCACTGAATGGGAGGCAGATAGATTGTGACAGGAAGGCAAAGGCCTTTGGCCATTACTGAGTTACCGTTCTGCACATCGTGTCAGACAAATTTTGCAGTTAAAGCGAAACATGCAGTCTATTTGAGTAAGGTACGTCTCTGAAGTCACACCATGATTTTATCCGATGTCTTTCCTTTTTTGTAAATCTGACACAAAATTGAAGGTGCAAAATGAAGGAATGGAGGTGCACCACATGCTTTCAGGTGAAAAAAATAAAATATTCACCTTATGATACAAACTCACATGTTAACATTAGTCTTTCAAAAACAACGAAAAGATGAGAACTGTGCAGTTAAAAAAAGAAAATCTACATGAAGAGGCTGGTAGGATTTGGATCTGCAGCTGTTTGCAAAGATCCGCTCTATTGAAGGTGAGTGTATTTGTGATCAAGAAGTACTATTTGAATGAGCCACCTGCTACATTTATATCAAATCATGTAAGTATTCGGTCACTCCATTTCATATCATCGTGGGCCGTCTGCTTGACAATCTCTGATTTGCAAAAATGTTTTATGTATTATTCAAGCTTTATTACAATTTTAGCCTCACAAATAGATTAAATTAAATAGTTATGTGATTTACATTCAACTTTCATGCTGGATTCTGAAAATATTACTAAAAAGTTGTATCACAAACAAATATCAGTAGATGGTGTATCCAAATACAGTCAGCATCACTCCAAATTATTCACAGAAAATTCAGCCTCACTCCCAAACCGTCGCTGCAGATAGCCGCCGTTCCCTGAGCCCGCTTCTGCCTGTTAAAAGGGCGTTTTTCCTTCCCCCTGTCACCAAATTGCTTGCTCATACGGCATCATCTGATTGTTGCTGTTTTCTTTGTTTTCTCTGTATTATTGTAGAGTCTTTACCTTATAAATATAACGCACGTTGACGGAACTGTTGTTGTCATTTGGCACTATATAAATGAAACTAAAGTGAATGTTTAAACACGGCCTCAGATTTAAATGTGCAAGAAAATAAAAAGCCTAAGAGTCGGTAGATGAGTCTTTTTTAAATATATAAAGCTAAAATTTCACAGTAAACATGATATAATATGTCCAAATTGTAAACCTTATCAATTTCAGGCAAATCAGAGGTAAAGTAACTGTAGTATGCTAGCTGAAATACTGTCTCTATGTAGAGAGACACTATTTAAAATAAGTGGTAGATTTGATCTGTGGAATTAACTGGCATTTCTTGTGTGCCATCTCCCACATTTTGAGGCTGCAGTAATGTGAAAATTAAACTGCCTTCTCAGTCAGCAAAAGGTGTCTAAAAGTCTTTTTTTTTTTTTGCAATTTACAACCTAGAAGCTGTTAGAAGCAGAATAAAATGAGAGTTAATGGGGGATTTTAAGGGATATAAATTGCTTTAAATCCCAACGCTGCATAAATGTTGGTGCTGGCTCAGAAAAAACGTTAAAAATAAACAACGGGATGCTCCATAAATATATAAACAAGGGCTTAGTGCACGGTTTACATCACTGTCAATGTCTTTTACCAACTCATGTAGACGTATGGATGAGTGGATGTGGTTTATTATCTATGAAACTACAGAGGACTGACATTTACAGCAAGTCTGTGAAAGGCTGAACAAGCGTTTGCCATGAGCTATAAACCTCAGAGCAAAATGGCTCGCAATCTGTTTGCAGGTTGGACAGTTCAAATCTGCAGCCGAAAGAAGCCGACAGACCGCTGGGCCGTTCTCTGAGATCGGAGGAGAAAGGCGTGGTGCTGTGGCACATTCGTTTGCAGAAGATTTACTGTCAAACTGCAATTTGGTGCATTCTGTTGAAAACTGACAATGCATTATATTGTTTTTATAAAAGGACACTACTGCAGGAGGAGAGTGGGAGTTAATTCAAGATATTATTTCTGGAAGATTATACTAAGAGTGGAGGAAGTGGTGCAGTGGATGCTGTATGCAGGCTTCCCAAATCTCCACCAGCTCAATTTTATTTCTACTGCTGGCAGCGGTGGAGACACTTAACTGAGCACAAAGAGATACAGTGAGGACACAATAATGGGGGAGGACGTGAACACATGGACAAGCATGGCAGGTTTTTTTGCTGTTACGAGAAAATGACCAATAATGGCAAAATGGTTCTATTTGTTGACACCAATTTTTTAAATTTTGTACTGTCTGCAACGAAGTGTTAAGCAGGAAGAGTGCACGCTTTGTTTCAGTGTCTGTGTCAGACTGTGGGACAGGGCCAAAATCCCAGATGGTGTGTTCTTCCCACGGCCACTAACTAAAATGAGAATACTTTAGAAAAACAACTCATGTAACAATCACAATTATATCTGGCATTCGTTAAACAGAGACGGCTTCAAGCAAGATTACGGAGTCATGAATGGAAATGAGGGAGAAAAGAAACAGGTCTGTGTAGACATTTAGATTCAGCTCCTTGGACACACCTGAATCCACCGTTCCATGCCTCTAATATGCAAACAGAACCAAAAAATTGGATTAGTATCTGCCTTGAGAAACTGTTTTACATAAAAGACAATTTGCTTCTTGTGGTAAATGACTGGCTGAGCACAAAACACCTTTTTTGCACCTGTGCAGATTTGCAGCAACACTGGCATTAACATAATGTCCTGGATGAGCTCAACATAGAAATGGGCTTGCTAGAAAGTGTGCAACAGAGAAATCAACTGGTTTTGCAAAAGAGTTGAACAAAAGGTGAATCAACACACATGCACACAGAGAGACACTGCTAAGCAGCAGCTTGTGATGTCAACATGATAAAGCTGGACACAATGAAGAGTGTTGGTCCAAAAAGCAAAGAACAGACTATCACCTTCTCTTAACACAGAAACACCCGAGCGAACAACCTGGATTCTCAAAATGAAACAAACACAAACGCAGTGCGGGATTTGACATTGGCATTTGTTGACAAGTTAAAGTTTCATGTACTTATCCAAATAAAAAGCTGATTATCTGAATAGAAATGTACTTTAAAAAAATCTTTGAAATACAGACCTCAGGAGAAACATGGAAGCTACAGGCTAGCATGGTAAAAGCTCTTCTTAGTGACTTATGACACAATTTTAACCAAACTAAACTGCGAAGGGAACCACTGCAAAACCTTTTGTAACAGACCTAATCTACTTAAACCACCTTCGAACAGCTGAACATGCATATTATGAACAAGCTGACAATGGAAAAGTTGCTATGACTAAAGCTAAAGCTAGGCAGAGTCAGAGCTAGCCTCCAGTTTAATCTTTTTCTTTTTTTTAATGAAAATAAAATTTTATATTTAAGAAATGAAAAGGTTTTGTAAATGTAATCTTCACCTCAATATTTATTATGCACTCATTTACACAACTATAGGCAAAACAGAATGCCCTTTCCTCACATATAATTTGACCTGGACTACACCTGAAATATGAGGTAACTGACGTAAGCAGTTGTGTAGACTGCTAACTTTCTTAATTGTATTATTATTCTGCCGTCTACCTGATATCTGTAAAAATTAAAAAATGTATCATGAAATTTATAATTTCTTCGATTTCAAGGACTTTTAATGTAAAATT